GATAGAAAGATCCGTCAGTTGTTTCCATTTGTTTGTACCAAGCACTATATTTGTTATAACATACACTTAAACAAATATTTTTCCTTTCAGCTCCAGATACTGTCTCTCCTCCAGCTGCAGTCTCATCCCCCTCAGAGCTCTACGTAACCTGGGAACCTCCAGCAAGGTAATACCCATTCCTCCTCTTACATCAGACCACATGTTTACGTTGTTGTTATGTTTTTCATGTCTAAGTTGAAAGTTGCTACATAAGTAAGCACACCGCTGATCCTCAGTTATAAAGCCTTCACTGATGAACAACATGTTAATATAAATTAATTTTCAAGTTTATTTTTGACCTGCTACTATAAAAGAACATAAAAGAGAGCAGTTTAGTAAACTGAATCAGACATAAAATAATAAATAATAATAATAAACATCATGTTGTATGATAACGTTTTTATTTAGCATACATGTTTTTTTCACCCTGAATAAACATGCCCTAATTGAACACAATAGCGTTTAACATCAAAATGGTATATGTTAAATATAACATCATAATATTACCCTCATTTCTTTTTTCTTCCAATGATAGGCCCAATGGAGGCATTACAGAGTACCTCCTCTATCACAACAACCAAATGGTCTACAGGGGGAAAGACAGACAACACAACATCACTGGTAAAAAGGAGGGAGCGAGTGTGTTTTGTGTGTGCGTGCAGCAGTGTAGCTGTGACTGTGGAGGGATGGGGCCTCGGTGTAAAGAGAAGGGGAAGAGTGAAGAAAAGCAAAATGGAGTGGGGGATTAGCATTTGAAAGAGGAAAGAGCATCTCAGTCCTTACCAAGGGAATAGCACTTTGAAAAAGAGCACTAAACACTCTCTCACACACACACACACACACACACACACACACACACACACACACACACACACACACACACACACACAAGAAAATGAAGCAGTGGAGAAACAAAGCACACTAAACATTTGAGCACATGCATACACACAATTTGCTTTGAAAGCTTTCACTAAAGAGAGTTAAAGAAGGTATGAAACACATGTCACACCGCTGAGACTACAGCGGTGCACTACATTGCAAATAGATACACACACACAATGAGCTACATAAACATACATGTGCAAACATACAGGGATGTACACAGGTCCGTATACACAGCAGAGTCATCCTTTATGGCATTTTATATGCGCAGAATAGATTATCATTCATTTTGATTTCACACACCCACACACATTCACATGGTTAGTAAAACATCACACTGGCCAACAGTGTATGTGTGTGTCTTTGTAAGTTAATGAAGGCATGAGAGCACATATCATCCATGCTGGGTTAATAATGCTAAGTGTCTGATGTTCACAGTGATTGGAAGGATTATGGATGTAGTAATTATACGGTATGTGCAAGAATAGATTGTGTTACAGAGAGTGAGACTGCAACAGAGGGACAGACAGAGAATGGTTTCGAGGCAGTGACAAATATAGACACTGTAAGAGAGGAGGGTGGGTTGGCAGGAATAAAAAGACAGAGTTCAGGAGTCAGGGTGAAATGAGGGATAAATCCCCTCACAATATTAAGTTGTGAGAGTTAAGTTGATGATATAATTCAAAGTTTTGTTTTATAAATCTGAATTATCATCTGTTTATTTATCACGTGTTTATCTTTCAGGTCTTGGTGTGTACTCCACTCATGTCTTGCTGCTGAGTGCGTGCACTTCAGTGGGCTGCACCAACAGTTCACAGGTTACAATGGTGACCTCTCAGCTTCCTCCTGGGCCACTACAAGCACCAAATCTTACCCTGCTGGACTCACGGACTATTCTGGTGGAGTAAGTACAGTGCATACTTACATACTCGCACTCAGCTTTCATCAGTAGATAATTGTATCAGGTTCATACAGAGTGGTTAGACACACTTTCATATACAAACAGTACTTTCACTTAGTGAGAGACACAACGCATAGTAGTTTATACTGTCTCATTGCTCCACACAGATTCATTTTCATCTGCTGCTAGTTTTTGTCTCTACAGTGGACGTTTAAGTCAAATGCTGTATATACATCATAATTAATGTGTCTGTCTGTTTCCATTGGACTTTGTCGCATTTTGCATTTATTGATACACAAACTTTTCCAACCCAGTCAAGAATAAAAAACATTTTTGCAAAATCTCTGAAAATGCACATAAAAACAGGTGGATGGAAATGCACCCACCTCTGCGGTTTTTATATCGAAGTATTTACTCACAAATGAGAAAGATAAAGTAAATTTTTCAATTTTTCACAATCACTGAAAAGGACAGGGAAAAATAAAAATAATCCCAAGCATATTATAGCTTTTCATTTGTATTTCATATGTTGTGTCCTTATAAAATACAAAGAGAGAGAGAGAGAGAGAGAGAGAGAGAGAGACGGGTCGACAGAGAAAATGTGACCTTCTGCATAATATTTTCCTGCACTTGACCTTTCACCTGTAGAGGGTGGGGACAGAGGAGGACAGATCTCTGCACTCTTTCTATCAGATTCATGTGCAAACGTCCCTGTGTTTGTGTGTGTGTGAGTCTGTGTGTGTATGTAAGAGTCAATCTGCGTGAAAGCCATTAGTGTCCCGACTGTCACTTACAGTGGGACTCACCACAGTAGGGCACAGTGCCACTCATACACGCACACACACATGCACACATATACACAGGCATATCCACACACTTGAACAACGGACAGGGTGAGTCAGAGGATGGAGAAGGAGTAAATTGAAGGCACCCAGTATGTTAGGGGGAAATTATTGTTTGGTTAAGATGTGATGATCTTGGTAATGCTTGGATCGTCTTGGATCAGCAGAGTGCATCTACACTGTACACACACAGAGTACATATGTGCATATGTGAGTGTATTGATAGAGAAAAAGCATCAAACTATTGTCCATTCATGATTATTTTTCCTTCATAAATTTATTCAGAGTAATTTAAAAAAGGAAGTAAATAATACCACATGTTGAATTAATAATATATGTCTGATTGAGGTGCACATTTATTCATCAGTAGGAATGTTATGCCTCTAAAACAACAACAAAGTCACAGAGTAATACTAACAATTTGAAGTGGATGCAGTGGTGAGATGTAGTTAACCATTAAACAGAAATACACAGGTGGAAGAAAACAAATGTTTTATAACATAAACAAGTAAAATAGCAGCTTTATTGGAATAGCTTACATTTTTCCAGTGTCAGTTGTGTTTCTATGGAGCCACAAAACATTTGATTTTTGTTGTTTTTTGGAAATTGAAACATGTAAAATATTTTTCGCAAAGTCTTAATTTGTACATAATGCAAGTTAAAATCATCTCAATCAAGATAAGACTTGATGACCATAACGTCAGAGGATTCACCACATAGTACAAAAACCTGGTAAACCTCAAAACCAGAAAGACCAGGTTGCATTTCACTAAAATATACAAAAAGAAAAAATGGTCAGATTCTGGAACAAAGTTCTATAACTGGGACACTGGTATTTATTGATGATTTTGCTACTGAGGACGCAGCAGGCTGCATGTGGTGGTATACATGAACATTCTCTGTGCTCAGATTCAGCTGAATGCATAAAAACTCATTTGATGACTTTTCATCATTCAGTGGGATAGTGAGCCTAACCTCCAGCCAAAGCAACCAAAGAGTTTTTCAGAGTGAAGAGGTGGAATATCCTCGACTGGCTGAGTCAATCACCTGATCTCAGTCTGACTGAGCTGCATTCCTCTTGCTGAAGACCAGACTAAAGACAGAGAGATGCCACAACAAGCACGAGCTGAAGGAGTCTGCAGTGAAGGCCTTGGAGATACAAAGTGCCTGCTGATGTCTGTGGGTCGACTTCAGGCAGTCACTGACCACAAAATATAAATATAATATGGTGATTTTGTTTCACTTCATGTCACTCCAGTTATTTTTGAAACCGTAAAAATTGGGCACTATGTTTAAAGGCCTTTATCTTCCACACAGTTTTTTCTATATTGATGTAAACCTACTCAAATTAAAACTGAGACTTGGCACTATTTAAATTTCAAACTGAATGTGCTGAAGCTCAGAGCTAGAAGAACAAAAATGTGTGACTGTCCAAATACTTTCAGTCTGGACTGTATACATTTACCAGGTGTGGGAAGGCTGCATATTGCCTTGTTAGCACATTGGTAATAGGCGGAGGTTGAGAGATCATACTTGGTCAATACCTCTCTATTTTGTCTGTGAGAAAAGCTGTGAAAGACGGAAAGATGGAGGGAGAACAACTGTGAGAAAATGTTAAGACAGTTGGACCAGAGAGAGGAGGAGAGAAAGATGTGTGAGTTTTAAAGGAAAGAATGGAGGGTAATGTAAGAAATGTTTAAAAAGAAAGTGTGTGTGTGTGTGTGTGTGTGTGTGTGTGTGTGTGTGTGTGTGTGTGTGTGTGTGTGTGTGTGTGTGTGTGTGTGTGTGTTAAAGAGCGAGAGACTGTGAGAAAGGTTGTGATGGGCTGCAGTATCTGAACAAAACAATATCAGCAGATTTATTCCCTGCCCTCACACAAGCAGACTCAGCTGTGAAGGTACCACAGTATCAGACATGTGCGCCGTCACTGGGACGTATGGCATGTTCAGGACAGCTGCAGAATTCACTCTACCTGGCTAAACTACAACAGTCAAATGAAATTATTTTACTGACATTTTTTCTCTGATTTAATTCAATATTCAATACCTTAATGTATAATAATGTGCTGTTAACAATTACTTGATGGCAGTGATGCTGTTTTTTTGAGTGTGCAATGTAGAGAATGTCAGGAAAGATGGAGACGGAAGGTGCAGGAGACAGGTTGACACTTCATAGATGGTGATTTGATTTGAACCCACTGCATCTCAAGAGCATGGTTTTAAATTTAACATGCTGAAAAAGCAGCCGTCTGTTTCACACTAATTTCATAACACACTTTTAAACCAGTGGTATTCTAAAACCATTACTGCAGTGAATTATGATACAGATTATTACAACTCCCCTTTGATTTAGTTTTTCAAAAGTGGACATACATCACACTGCCAATCGACAGCATATAAATCTTATCATAAATGTGATAGATTAGCCACAGTGGCTAATTGTGTGCTAACACACACTCATCAGTCATTCAAAAGCTGGCTTTTAATGGGAGGAACCAAGAAAGGAATCCATCACTTTTTAAAATGGCCTCCCCCTGCTACCATGCCAGGAGGGTTGGGTTACTCTCTGGGATTTGTAAGAATTGCGGGACTATTTTGCTAATTTATTTATGAATTATTTATGTGGTGTGTTATTCCCAAAATTTTGGGATTAATAAATTATCAGATTCTTTGGATTTTGTATGAAGTCAACAGTGTACACCTCTGTTTCAAAACTTTGTTACAGCACTGTGTTTTACAAAGTTATCATGAAATGAAATAAATATTCGAATTTCCTTATAATGTTTGTACTTTTTACACTAAATTATTTTGTCAGAGCTTAAATTTTCCTCCAACAATGTCAACAGGCACAAATCATGCAGCTTTTAAAAGGACAGAGGATACAGCTTGTTCATAAAGACATGTTCAGCAGCTCCTGTGATCCTAGGATAAATTAGAAAAAAGAATTGTATACTATTATACTATGTATACTACTATCAGCCAAAATTTTTTGATCTGAATTTTGCCAGTTCTTTCTTTCTTACATTTTGTAATGAATACTCTGCATGCTCCTTGTCCTCTCCCTCTCTCTCTCAGTCGGGGATGACCTTCCTGTTCTAAATATAGAAAAGGAGACACCTCTGTCTCACAAAGGAAACTGTGTGTGCAGCATACCTGTGTGTGTGTGTTGTGTGTAAGACACCTTAGCTCAGTATTGTGTTTCCATGTACTTGCAGATGGGAACACAATGATAGTCACACACACACACGTAAGCACACACTCACATGCAGATACATAAACTCTGCAACAATCTTATTTTAATCCTTGAGTTGTATTGATACTAGGTACTGTGCCTTTAATATGTACACACAATTTAGAAATAATACAATATTAAAGTGCTGCGTAACAAACAGTAAGTTGATGTGAGCAACCAATGAAATTCAAGCAGTCCTGGTAACATCTTGATATATTTTTAACAATAGCCATCCTTATTCAGAAGGGATGACTGCTTTTTTTCAACATTAGTCATCTTTACAGTCCAACATTTTAACTACACTAGCCATGTGTATCACTTTAGTTTAATAGTTTCACAGTTTTCAACAACAATGGAGGTCTATATTAGAGGGCTGTAAGTGTATCAGGCTGTAGTTAAACAGGAAAATTTGTTTGTAGATAAATTTGTAGTTTTGATCTCTTCAGAAGAATGTTGTTACTAGAAAGATGGAATCAACCTTATTTTTAATCTAAAGGTTAACAGGACACTACACTTATATGATAAGCACAGTGGAATAAAAAGTAAAACGTTTCCCTCTGAAATGCAGTAAAAATGTCTCACAAAAAGGTTTCACACACTGGAATATTAAAGTAATGATCTGGTAGTAAATGTACAGTATGTTGTTGCCTCCTTCTCTGCTGACTCCTCTCTGCATCTCCAGGTGGTCACAGCCCTCTCAGGTCAATGGTGTTTTGGAGTTCTATTCCATCTTCCTGTCACGTGATGGTGCACAGCCTCTGCTTGCCTATAACAGCTCTGAACTTTTTGAAGACCACACGCTTCGCAACCTAACCCCTGGAACAACTTACACCATCACACTGGCTGTAAGTGCCTTCCTCTACCCTGTAAATCATCTTTCTGATTTGCATCATACATTCATCCATACATTCGTGTGTGTGTGTGTGTGTGTGTGTGTGTGTGTGTGTGTGTGTGTGTGTGTGTGTGTGTGTGTGTGTGTGTGTCAGGCCTGCACCGGTGGTGGGTGTACCTTAAGCCCTCCCAGCCATGCTCAGACTGAGGAGAGCACCCCAGAGAATGTTCCTGCACCGCTGGTCACCCCTTTGTCCCCATATGCACTCAATGTCAGCTGGACACCTCCTGACACTCCAAATGGTGAGAGGACATACACTTACTCTGGCACATACCCACAAACCAAAAACATTCAAATATACATTTACGTTTATCAACAGCAACATTTAGAATAATAATAATTTTATCAAAATACACACAAACAAACACAACCTTACAGTCATCCTCATGACAATGTTTTTTTTTTTTTTTAAATATATATATATTTTTAATGGCATGTTCTCAGCAGGAAGGGATTGGAAACTTATGAGAGATGAAACATGTAGAGAAACATTAACAAGAATCATGATCAGGAAGTGAATTCAAGGTGTCAGTATCTACTGTAACCCAGTCCATCACAGAACACACTGATATAAAGATCTGGACATGGTTCAGGTATCCCCTACATATGACTATGAAACAGGAGAACATTTCCCTTTGTACGAGGGGAACCAGATGGGTCAGCAAGAGATAGAGATGAAACAGTTAGAGAAAAGGAAAAGAGGAAAACAGAAAGAGACACAGAAAGGAGAGGGCAAAACAACTCAGAGAGACTGGGGAAAGAGTCTGTCTCTTTCCCCAGTCTCTCTGAGTTGTTTTGCAGGGTGAGAGAACGTACAGTCTGAGAGCGGGACAAACGGAGGCGAGCAGTGAGAGGGGAGTGCTTCACCAAGCTCCTTTAAGTGGATGAAAAGTGCTCCCTTTTGACTGAATAGAGAACTGCAGGCTGGAAGTACATAGAGTGACTGTCTCTATTCTTCCTATCTCCATCTAGTTTACTGGCAGCCAATTAAAATTCATTGCAAAGAGCTGGGCCAAAGTATATTTCATGTATGTTGGATATGAATTTGGAATCCGGCAATTGACTTGGAGCTGTCTAGATATAAAAAAAAAAAAAAGTTATTTGTGCATAACTGTTTTATGTGGGCAGATGTCTTAAGGTGAAGAGATTCAAAGTTGTCGACGGAAGAATTTCCTGCACAATACAATTTTGAATACCAGTGGATGAATTAATAAATAAAATACTAACATGAATTATCAAGGACTGTATTAACAAATGCTACATCTTATGAAACCAAATGAATTGAGTGATGAAAAACCATCTGAGGATTTCCCACCCCATTTCACTCTAACATACAACGCACTGCCACATATTATCAAATGTTACTGCCATGCTCGTTAAAGTATGTGTAATTCCATAATGCATGTGTGTGTGTAATGTGAATAGTGTGTGTTTTACGCTTAATGCCACATGAGTGCATTTCGCACCATAAACCCTGTGATGTGTGTGCATATTAGCCTGGATAAATTACTTAAAGCTTTTCTCATCTGATGACAGAAATTTATAACAAGGGAGACACTTAATCATGATTACCCGATTATCTCATGCTTAAAAAGCTTTAATTTTTACTTAAAAAGGGAGAAGGGCTCAGGATTTTTTTTTTTCATTTACCCTTTTTTCATAAATGGACAGCAACAATGACGATGACGATGGTGATGGGTTCCAGAGGACTGAGATTCTGTGTTATTTTCTCTCTCTCTCGTCCTCTCTCTCTCTCTCTTGCCCCCCTTCTCCCCAATTCCGCAGGGATTTGTGGGGGATAATCCTCTCGGGGATTAGGTCGGGGCAACACGCAGACAAAGAGGGGAAATAAGCCTGTTATGCATTCGCTGCTTCATTTCCCAACCTGTCTTTATTACAACCTATACTGATATGGGCTTATTCACACACACACACACACACACACACACACACACACACACACACACACACGCACACACACACACACGCACACGCACACACACACACACACACAAGCACACACAGACATCCACACACATATACACACACATACACTCTCACACGCATGTGATTGGCCACATTAAGAGCTTCCCAGATGTAGTTGGCGTCTGGGGTTTTTGTGTCTTCATTTCCCTGATAGGTGTGTATATCTGTATTGAGCAATAATAAAACCCACACATGATTAAAGCAGAATAGACTCTTAGCTCTTAGCACTGATCTTTTGAGCCCCCTGTATGCATTTTTATTAAGGAAAAGCACATTTGGCACCGTACTGTTTCATTTTTTTATTAGGTGGATGTAATGTAATGTAATTATTGTGCCTGTGTGTGTGCGTGTGTGTGTATGGACAAGTGTGAGTTTTTCCCATCTTAGTGTGTGTGTATCTTTGTATGTATGTGTGGAGTGTCCCTGTGTGTGGAGGAGTTTGCGGAGCACACCTATTTGCAACCACATTGTGTGTGTGTGTGTGTGTGTGTATGTGTGTGTGTGTGTGTGTGTGTGTGTGTGTGTGTGTGTGTGTGCGTGCGTGCGTGCGTGCGTGCGTGCATGCATGTATTCACACTGGTACTACTGTCCTCCTGAGGGCCTTTATCTTTATAACGCCTACGGTTACATTTGTTGTTTCAGTGCTGTTTTCATCATTGGATCACACTAGGACACATTGACTGGCAGGTCTGGAGCCCCTAAATCAGTTTTCATTTGCATTGTAATCCAGTGACCCAGACAGCATCCCAGCAAAGCAAAGCTCACTTTGTGATTGGGATTCCTCATAGTCTTGAAACTGTCTTACAGTGTATGAGTGACCAATGCAATGAAGTGGACAGTTTTTTCAGTGATATAGAAATGTTTTGTTTTGTAGTTAGGATTTAGAGTTGAGGTTATGATATTGTGCTTTGAATGTTACACAAGTGGATTGGTGCAGGGAATGAATTTAACACATTTGTTATGTTTACATGTGAAGAGAATTATGTGCTGTACAAAGTTTCTCATATACAGTTAACACTGAAACTTGTTTGGAGGGACTCAGGTAAGCTCCTCTCATTAATAGCTGGGTTAACATGTCATAATCGGATGTGTTCTTTTGACAGGCATTATAACCAGCTATGGTCTCTGGCTGGATGGAGTCCTCATTTTAAACTCCAGTTCTTCCCAGAGGTTCTTTGTGATGGAGGGACTCTCTCCATGGAGCCGGCATGTACTCAGGTTGCAGGCCTGTACTGCACAGGGCTGCGGCAAAGGACCAATGGTCAGTGAATCGCTTATTAGTCAACACAGTAATTAATGTATTATAATAAAATAATCTCCAAGATCCTTTGTGATATACAAAAACACAGGTATACATGTGGGAATGCAGAGTGTATATGTGTTGCACGTGCATGTGTGTCTGTGTGCGTGTGTGTCACTGGGCATCATAAAGGTGATCGATTCTCTTGGCTCAATAACGAGCGCTGGCGTGACGACACTGACATTTGGTAGGAAATGCCACTCCATCTCAACGACATCTCTGACGACAGGCCATATTTTGGGGCATTTTTCCAATACGGACGCCATATTTAGTCAAAGACCGCAAGATCAGCTGACGCAGCAGAACAAGAGGAGAGAAAGGTGGGAAGGGGAGGGGGGAAGAACAGGATGAAGAAGAGAAGAGGAAGAGATGGCAGGATGGAAGGGAAAAGGAGAAGGACGGAGTTAGGGAAGGAGAGAGTTTAAGGATAAAAGTGAAAAAGTGAGATGAGGATAGAGTAAATGGTCAGAGCAAAGCAAGAGATGAGGTGGAAAGTGGGGATGCAAAGGGCAGTAGAGGAGAGGGTAACAGGAAAGTGATACTGGAGGAAATGAGACCGAAGAAGAGAGCAAGGCGATGGTGGAAAGAGAGAAAGAGGACACTGAGTGGATTGAAAAATTAGAAAAATGTGGCAGGAGAGAGAGGGGGGGGGGGGAATAAAAGGATAAAAGAAAGAGGATAGAAAACCAGATGCAGAGGTAATACTGGCCAGATGTGTTGAGTGGTTTCATTCAAAACTAAAACTTGTTGGAGTATTACATTATAACACTATGAGTAATTGACTCAGTGATATAAAACATGCAACATGTCTGTTCCTGTGTGCATTTTAACGCAAGTGAGCTTGTGTGTCTTCTCTTTTTTTTCTTTAAATCAGATTGAGGTGCGTACATTAGAGATGGCCCCTGAAGGGCCTATACTGCTGGAACTGACCAATCAGAGCTCTCGATCACTACGAGCCCGCTGGACAGCCCCTCCTAGACCAAATGGGAACCTCAGCTATACATTATACTACAAAAGCATAGGTAACACATACAGTCATGCACACACAAATACAGACACCACATAAACATTGTATAAAATGATCAGTGAATGTAATACAGCAGTCACTGTTGCTTTCCTCTGAGCACAATTAATATTATTACCAGTTTTAAGACCGACAAGTGGATTATCTGATGAATTTTGTTTCAGATATGAGTAGAACAATAACATGGATAAAGATATACACACACATACGAACAGACTCCTCACTGACTGAGGACTGAAAACTGACAACTGAAAGTCAGGCATGAAATGTGGAAGTCAAAGAAGGAGTAATCAAACCAGAGTGATATAGAGAAGACAAGGTTTTTTGATATTGCCACTGACTTGAGAGGGAAGATGATATAGGAGTCTAGAGCAAAACAGTGGTATGAAGATGGGAGGAAGAACAAAGGAAAGTAGCGGTGAAGCCATAGTATACAGAGAAAGCAGAGATGAGAAGCTCATATTTACATAGATGTATTAGAAAAAATTGCAGGTAAAAACAACATAAGACACAAAGAGCAACAAAACATTGGAGGGGACCAACAAAACAGAAGAGGAGAACTGGACATGGAAAGAAAAGGAAGATGAGAAACAGCAGAAAACACTCCTTTAACTTACACATATTCACCAAGTCTCTCTTTCTCTCCCTCTCTCCCTCTCTCTCTCTCTCTCTGTCACACACACACACACAGAGTCAGAGACTTTGATCTGTACCTCACAGAGGAACAGACAGATTAAAATGAGTGGAGAGAAGGATAGAAGAGGTGTGGAAGAAAGAGAGAGGTGGTGCTTTGCTCTAGTTACGCATAACCCCTTGTTTCTTTGATACACACTGTCTTCATTAGTTCACACAGAACTGATATGTGTTTGGGCACGTGTGTGTGTGTGTCCAACTAAATATATTGGATAGGCTTACATAGTGTAATTTTCTGATCCTTTTTCTTTGACTATCCTTGCATAACCTCAATATGGAGGCCTCTCTCTTTTGATCACTCTCAGTTAATCTCAGTCAGTATTCCTCTCTCTTGAACTCTTTTATCTTTTATGAATCGCTTTTCTGCCATCACTGTGATGACTCTAATAAATAAATGTGCCATGAAAATAATCTGTGTAAGACATCACTGTCTACCTCCTCGCTAGATATATAGAGCTTTCTTGGCCTAAGACCTTACATGTCTGTCTTTGTGTGACTCTCTGTCTCTTAGATGGTGATGTTGTGTTAGATGGAAGTACAGCAGCCGGCAGCTGGTTGTCTGTGACTGACCTACAGCCTTACACCAACTACAGCTTCTGGATCAGAGGGTGTAACACACAGGGATGTGTTGAGAGCCTGCCACTCAATGTTACTACACCCCCAGCAGGTACACACACCCACAACAAACAGTAAAGATTTTTCCTCCCACCACCAGAGTACGTGCTACAAGCTTGATTTTCACTGGAAATGCACATAGCCATCATATAAATCTATATGTCCTGATCAGATACATACATATATGTTATATGCTAAAGAGACTCATCACCCTCATAAATATTAAAAATGAGGGGTTGCATTAATGTGCAAATGCATGGTATAATTTTGATATTTATTCAGAAACTGATGTAAGTAATTATCATATTGACATCCAAGCAAGTGTTACATTTGTCAAGTCAGGTGTAGGAAGGTTCATTTTGAGCTTTGGGTGCAGACATGACCTGTCAAATGTGTATTGTACAGCCAACATGACATGAAGTATTTTTCAAGTTATTTTATCAATTTATGTATTAATTATTGTAATTAATCTGTTTGAAGGGCTGTGAACTGGGTGTAAAACCATGGGTAGTGTTTTTGCACTGGCTACTAATTTAATTAAGTAACTACTAACAGTGTGGAAACAATCACACACATAGAAAATTTACCTCTGCATCTCTACTGAATGACTAAAACATGACAGTCACATGGACAGGGATAGGAGTTTCCTTCCTTAGAGGAAAATTGAGTATGATAGTATATATTTGTAGCCTCCATTGGAAGAAGGCACTTTTGTCCACCTCTAACTTGTGTATGCTTTAAATTAAATGACCATAATTGTAGCCTTTTTTTTTTTTTTACATTTTTATCTCACTCAGATTTTAAATACTTTTCTTGTGACTAGAAAGGTTAATTTTTATAGCTTGATTTGCAAAAGAAAAAAACAATTATTCAGTACATAGACACGCACGGATCATTGACTTCACCTAATGGTCTGAACACATATATCTGATTTTACACAGCCTTTCCCTGTCTTTCTGTGTGTGTGTGTGTGTGTGTGTGTGTGTGTGTGTGTGTGTGTGTGCGTGCGTGCGTGCGTGCGTGCGTGCGCTATGCGTGCGTGCGCTATGCGTGCATGTAATCGTGTAGAAGGCTGATTCTGCATACTGATAAATGTCAACGCTGATCAGAGCAGATAATGGTAACCAGGCAGTAACAAAACACACACACACCTATAAACACCACACATTTTACCACTTTAGCTAAGGTTAACAAAAGTGTTGAATACATACATATGGACACAAACCACACCCATGTCTTAGTCAGAGAACAACAAAAGACAGACTTCGGAAAGTTCTACTGTTCAAGTTCAAAACAAAGGCATAAGAAAGTATAAATTTTAAATACCAGACGTTTCCTCTCTTTCTATCTCTCTTTCTACCTCTGTGCCTCTGGCATCTCTTTAGACTTCTTTAAGGCAAACTGTCTTGATGCGTCCTTGTTCTATGAAAGAACAGAGAGAAGATAGCCGAGCAAGAGACAGAAGAGCAGAGGAGGAGGAGAGCAGAGAGAGAGAAGTGAACATAAAAGTGCATAGTTTAAAACGATTAGTGACACCTCTGATATTGTACCTGCTAACACAGCATGAGAGAGACACAGGCTCACCAACAGTGTGTGTCTTTGTGATGTATGTGTTTTGTGTGTGTGTGTGTGTGTGCGTGTGTGTGTGTGTGTCAGAGAAGCAGAAATCAACGTGTTTCAAGAATTACACACACATGAATGCTTTGTCTCTGAAACACACACACACACACACTCAGGAAATGACCTACTGATCTACAGTAGGATCTTCTTTATTAAAAAATAGAAACTAGGATGGGCATTGAAAAAATTTTACTATTGATGAATCCAAATATGGATTTATCTTATTGATCCTGTAATTTATCAAATCCTTTTAGCTGTAAAAACATGTTTTCAAATTTTTTTAAACTAACAATCATTAAACTGGCCCAAAATTACATCACTAGTGCTTTAGATCTACTAGTTGCCCAGTGGCTCATGGTATAGTATATACAGAATGTGACTGATAAGAGACTGAAAAGAAACACATGCTGAACTTGAACTTAAATGCTGAATGTAGGTGGCACCTATAATTTCTGCATGTTCATTTTTTGATTTGTTCTCTTGTTTCTCTGGTTTCAAGTTCAAGCTATCCTTCTATAAAACACATTCATAACAAATGAATCAGTAACTCTTTAGAACCAGCAACCAACACACACACACACACACACACACACACACACACACACACACACACACACACACACACACATACACACACACACATAAATGCACAAAAAGAGTAGAGAAGAAGGAGATGACCACTAATAGTATTCAAAAATCATTTTGAGGCTGAGTTTTTCAACACACTGTGTGTGTGTGTGTGTGTGTGTGTGTGTGTGTGTGTGTGTGTGTGTGTGTGTGTGTGTGTGTTTGTGTGTGTTTGTGTGTGTGTTTGCAACAGTCGCCTTTCGGATAAGATGCCTTGAGCAATCAGTCTTGTTGTAGTGGCAAGAGACCAGTGTGTTTGATTGAAGGGTCACTTTATACAGCAAAGGGCCTACTCTTATTTCACATAGTCAACACGACGGTCACTCTCATTTTCTCCTTGTGTTTGTTGTCCTTATCTCTTTCTTATTCTGTCTTTCCTTGCATCTTCTCTGTTTCTGTTAAGAGCTGGGCAATCTTACAGAATCAAGATGTTTTTACTGATTTTCCAACACTAACAATATGCTATCATGTTCAGCTGGAAAAGAGGGGCTCTACTGAGAGCAGGGTCATAACACTGTGTGTATGTGCATGTTTGTGTGTGTGCAAGTGAGAGAGGTTATAATATACCAGTAAGTCTGACGGCTCCTTGAGGCATTCTCTTTACATATTTTTTGGGTCTTTTTCCCGTTTTGTTTTCCCCGTCTAACCTCTGTCTACAGTTCTGTTTCCTCTCTAAGCAGAGCCATACCTAGGTGAAAGGCAGTCTTTTGGGATACAGTTGAGCAAGGACTTTGATAATGCCAATATGAAAATGACAAATGTATTATAATCTTTCTTTTGTTTATTTCTTTTTTGCTGCCTGTTTTGTTTTACTTCTCATCTGTTCCCATTTCATCCCTTCATCTCTTTTTCACCACCTCCATCTTTCCTTCATCACCTGTTCTCTCCTCTTGTCTCCCTCTCACCATCTTCTCTCTCCTCATAGCCCCAGACGGGTTGTCATCTCCAACGCTAGCACATGCAGCCAGTGACAGTCTGAATGTATCCTGGTACCCTCCTGCCCACTCCAACGCACCAGGCCCACTCCGCTACAGCCTGCAAATGAGGACATCCCGACAGAGGCCAGTGATAAGGTGAGAGAGAGAGCATTAAATGCACACAAACAGTAGATAAACATGTGGACAAGTTTGCACAAAGTTGTCCACAGCACATGCAAGTGATCTGAGACAGAGACGTGATAATAAACAGCAATAAGAGAATGACAGACACGCACATTCTCAGCTACATATCACATATATTCACCTAAAAAATGTGAGCATACACATATGCATACACATGTACATACAAAGGGGTACATTATACAGCACAGCTGAATATGTCACATCAATATGACAGACCATCAGAGAAACAGAGAGGGAATGAGGCGGAGAGACGGGGGTAGAGTCAAAAAGACAAAAAATCAGAGACAGGGCAGAGGGAGATAGAGAAAATGTGATAGAATAAAAAGAGAGAGAGGGTGTGCATCTGATATGTATTCATTACATGCTTCCTGACAACAAATTGCAATTTAATCCAAGAAGAGGAGGCTCTCATTCTGTGGTAATAAATAAATGACTAGCTACATGTATTATATATCAGACAGCCATGCCCTCCTCCTCTTCTGCTATGGAAATCTCATTGTTCCCTGATTTATTCATTCATTCATCCCTTCTATCTATCTGATGCTAAATGGTCAACGGTCCCTCATTTATGACAATATTCTTTTACTTTGTCCTAGATTCTTTTGTATGATTATATGATATGGGATCAGGTAGGACAGGGGGATATGATAAAAAGCTTTGAAAATATTGTAGATATTGCCAAGATAGTCACTGGTTAGTGATCATATGAAATGTGTCTCTTGACTTTGATAATGTCACACTTAAAATAAAAATAAATTTAGAAAAAACAATGTGTTTTCTTGCAATAAGCATCTACCACATATATGAGATTTAAAGTGTACTAACCATGTTCCATACACAAACTGTTCAGTACAAAACTGTTCTATTCAGGTAACCTTTTATTACTGAACACTAGGTAAATGCTTTTTGGTTGTTCACATCTTTGTCATCTTTATTTCCTTTTCTTTCACCTCTGACCAAAATTCCCACACCATTCACCCTGGAATGGTTGCTACATGTATGCTATAAAAATGGTTAATTTATGTCGGCAACATAATATTGGGATCAGTTCTATATTTAATTTTTGTGTAACAACAACATGCAGCTCAGGAACTGACACTCTGGGGAGCTGCTCAGTGCTGAATCTCTGTGATTGGGCATGACAGAGCAAAACAAGAGATCATGGATAAAGTTGAAAGAAATGATTTGGCCCCAGGTAGAATTTAAAGAGTTGCTAAATATTTAAATATTAAATTTTTTTAAATATTTCTAAATATAAAAATAAATCATAACATAAACCATGGCCATGACAAATGGCATCCATAGCAATGGTAAAGTTCATACTTTTGTCATAAAGGTGTAAAGACTTACTTGGGATTTTTCTTTTTCATCCAAAACTGCATCTACATTGATATAGAATAATATACATGAACATCAAATGTTGGTCAGATCCAATTATTCATCAGGAACAGTGCATGTGGCATTCCCTAGCTTTAAGTACTAGATCACCATTTGTAAAATGAATTATTCGCTGTCTGTGTTTGACCACCTGTTTGATTCCTCCACAGCACATTTTGACCAAATCCGAATGTGTGTCAATACATGTAATTATGTCTGTGTCCATCTATTCCTAGGCTTGTAGAAAATGCAACAGACACCTTTTCTTATCACGTAGAGGGCCTGTTGCCGTACACGCAGTACCTGTTTAGAGTAGTGGTTTCACACACACATGGGCAGACAGCTGGACCCTGGGCAACCCTAAACACTGCAGAGGACAGTAAGTACACGTACAGTATTCATACACACAAATGCACATGTAAAAATTTAACATTAACAAAGCATAGATGAATCCATTCACACATCTGTTCCAGTGCACACAGACAATGCAAAAACAGCAAAACAGGAAAGCCACTGATCAATAACTGTGACAAGAAGACATAAATTATTCCCTTGGTGGTCATAAACAGACTTGTTGTTGCTTTAGAGAAACACTCACTGCTGCTGTTCTATAGGCTGCTTGTTGGCAGTGGTTGGTGGCAATGTGTTTTCATACTCAATTGTGCTGCCTGGGTGCTCATGTCAGTAGTCCAGCCGAGTTTTGCAAGTGACTGGGTGGCAGGTGGCTGGCAGCAGCTGTTTGCTTGTTGGCCTCTGCCATCAGTTGGCCGTCAGTGCTGCTGAGTCAAAGTTAAACTCAAGGAGTCTGACAGATCTCCTGATTTTAGGTGATGATCTAAACAATACTCTCGAACATTAAACATATGGCCTGTGGTGTGGAAAAATAGAGCCTCTGCCCAGTTTTCTTTTATTTCCTGGAAGTCTCCAAGGTTTTATTTTATACAAGTGCATTCATTTCTTGATGTTAGTGGAGGTGCTCAATATGATCGAGACAATAAGGATGAGAGACTGCCACAGAACGTACTAAAAACGAAGAAGGTGATGGAAACATGGGCACGAGCAAGATCGAGTGAAACACATTGACAGAGTGAGATTTGCATACTGTAAGGTGTGTGTCTGTGTGTGAGTGACCTAGCCAGTGTCATTGTGGGCTAATTGCTGTAATAGAATCATATTAGCCACTGGAACAGCCTCCTCAGTGCAAAGTTATAAATTAATTAGTACCACGCTATTATCACATACATTATCATTAAGCAGCTGAGATTTGCATACATTGGATACATGCACATGTGTACACACACAGAGCTGTGTTCGTACACATATGTGTGTGGTGTACGTATACATACACATCCACATGAACACAAGTGCAGATACACACACTGATACAAGCACAAACCCATTCAGACACACACAACTGCAGACATTTAGGATGCATTAAATTATCAGCCTGTGCTTTTCTCTTTGCTATGCAGAATTGAATTCCCTCTGGCAAACACACACAGACACATACACACACATTCTCTCAAACAGTCAGCTTTTATAAAACCTTTTTTCCAGGTACTCGACAATTATGGATAAGGTGGACGATATTTGTGTTTTTGTTTGTGTGTACACCTGTGTTGATGTTAGGGTGAAAACATGCAACTCTACCTCTCTCTGTCTACTTGTGTGTGTGAACTGTAATAGATTTGATCCATTCAATCACACTGTACCCCATCATTCAAACCTCCGCTCATCTCTTTCTGCCTCTCTCAGACTCCAGCATATACACACACACACACACACACACACACACACACACACACATACACACACACACACACACACACACTGAGAACATGTGTCATACACACACCTCCTTGCCCTCCTTATCAATCACACACCTTGTGCTCACAAGCAACAACACACAGTCATGAAGTTTCATGCAGACAAACTACCTACTTCCATCTCTGTTTAACTGGAACTGAACTGGAAGGGTTGAAGTTGAAAAAGTCTACAAAACAAGACGCAGCAACAGATCAATCAGCATTAGTCAATAATGTGTTGTCTAAAAGTACTCAACTGTGACAGTCAACATTTGTTTATTAAAAACACAAAAACACAGGGCACTGGGATGCTACTTAACCTGCACGCAGTTGGCCATTTAAACATAGGAAATCATTTTGTTTATGTGTTATGTCTTTTGTACACATTCATTCCTATTCACTGCTCCCTGTGTTATAATGATTTCAGATGATTACTAGTAATTACTTATCTCATTTTACAGTTGAATTTTAACATCCATTCATGGAAATACACTATTGTTTAAGTGTGAAAATGTTCAATCATTTTAAAGTATGAATTAAAAATTCTTTCACCACAATAATAGAATACATGATAGGGATTGAAGCTTGTAATAAGAAGGGATTTAAAGCCGTGATGGGAGAAAGCCAAATGTAGCCAGACTGGATTTTCCTAACATTGATGTTTAATTTGTCACCATAAACCCATCCTCTCGTCATCTTGGCAGTGACAGGAAAGGCTGCACTCTCCTCCTAATCTCCTCTCCCGCACTCTACAAAAAATGACAACCTTAGCAGGCTCTTGTACATTTCATTCAGTGTGATTTCATGTATATTAAGGCCAGTGGGTATGATGTGATTGTTGTCTTTAGGGGCAGTTATACATAAAGAATTTACCCTCACAAAGTACATAAAATCTTAACTTGGCAATAAACCTGAACATTCATAGACATAAACTCACACACACATTCATATCACATTCATATATATGATCAAGTGACATAGTATACTGTAGATCTGAATACACATACTATTTTTTTATAGTGTAGTGGTCCTTTGGGTTTTACCTCTTTTGGAAGAGATCCCCCTAATTTGATCTATGTGTATATGTGTGAGCTGTAACCTTGCAAGGCTTCCATGTTGTTACAGAACTTTATATACAATATTGCATGTTAACATGGACCCTCATTAATAATATGGATCCAAGGATATATACTCTTTTATTACTTTAGCCCCCTCTCTGTTTTTCCTAGCGTTTTTTTGTATATTTTTCTCCTTTTTCTGTCCCTCTCCATTTGTCATACCTTTCTCATACTCTTTGTCTGTCCTTTTTTGCAGAATGGATTTCACATCTTATATTTGACAGACTAGCCTCTTGACTATTTAGAGAGAGAATGGAGAATAGAGAGAAAAGAAGATAAGAAATGGGGAGAAAAAGTGAAGAAAGAAAAATAAGGGGGCAAAAAGGTAAAATGAGGAATTGAGGAAAAAAAGAGGAAGAGAAGAGGCGGCTAATGACAGAACAGAGAAAGAGAGACCCACACTTCCTCCTTTGCTTTTTATCATTCCATTAAATTTTTATATCCATCTTTTTAATGTAATTTGGTCCCTATGAATTCCTGCCGCTGCAGAACAGACAGACGGCTCCTGTGAACATAAACTCTAGCTGTGTTGGACAGCTCCCTTTCCTCTGTCTACTCCCATGTTCACACCAGCTAAGTGATCTAAGAGAGAGAAAGAGTGTGTGTGTGTGTGTGTGTGTGTGTGTGTGTGTGTGTGTTGTGTGTGTGTGTGTGTGGTGTGTGTTGTGTGTGTGTGTGTGTGTGTTGTGTGTGGGTGTGGTGGTGGTGTGGTGGGTGGGTGGGTGTGTGGGTGTGTGTGTGTGTGTTCCGTGAGAAAAAATGCATGTATGTGTGTTATAGAGCGTATGAATAAAGCACTATTTTGACAAAATGATTTTAGCCAAGCAGTCTTAGGAAGAGAGAGTGTGTGTGTGTGTGTGTGAGAGAGAGAGAGAGAGAGAAAGAGAGAGAGCATAGCAAATCACGGTTTTACCAAACTGAAATTAAAGCAAAGAAAGAAGAAAATGGGACAGAGATGAGGTTAGAGGTAATGACAGAACACAAAGAATTCATGTTATTTAATGAATGAGTGACTGCATTAATAAAATAATACTCTACCTTATTTCCCAGTATTCTGTTCACTTAGCTCTCTCAATGAAATGTTGAAGTAATATGAGCATAATCCCATTATTATTTATGCATATCATGAGATAACTAGAATATTTGAATATATTATGTACACTATATTATATGCTCATTACCTGCATATAACTGTGCATGTATTTACATGTGCAGTTCTTTAAGTAAAAACTGTCAGCAGTCACATGCTGAAGTATGGTTTTTGTCGTGTCTTTAGTTGGGTTCCTTACTAAACCCAATCATTTCCACTGATTCGACACACTTGCATGTTTCTACGTTATATTTTAAAAGCCATACATCTTGGCAACTTTTTGTTTGCACTCTGTAATGCAGGATCCATCAGGAGGTTAGAATTAAATAAATCACTACAAATAGTCAGTGTCCAAAAAGGATATTGAAAATTGTGAATGATTGACATTTCAAAGATATCGTGATGGTCATAGTTACTTAAAGGCTAATGCACATCTCACATACTCATGATGTTATGGATACAAATCAAGTTCATGACCTTGGTCATACATCATCCTCTTTCTCACTCCCTCTTTGGTGTCTTCTAAAGCAGCAAGTAATCTGTAGAAAAAGCAAAGATATGAAATGCAATGTAAATTCTCACCGTATTGCTTGTCACGTTTTGACACTGTGTCGTAAGCATCTTGATAACAGTAAAGCTCAGCGTTTGTCCTCATTATGACTCCTAGGAGCCTCGACTCACCTTCAAAATCCCAGTCACCCACACACACAAACACAAACACACACGCACGCACAGAACCCTGCGCAAGGCTAAAAATAATACCCCTCCTATGGTCTTCACACAGATGTACACACTTAGATGTACACGGATGGACCCTGACCACGAGCACACACAAAAAAATATGCACAAGAAGCTACATAACATGTATACACCCACAAGTACACATGCATACGCACAAACACACACACACTCCCTCCACCCCCTCTCCCAGCCCTTGTCAGTTGATTGTGTTATTACTATGCTAACCAAATCCTTATAAATGTGATTTAAAGCTTGGTGGCCCTGCACTCCTGTTTTAGCCTTCTGCTACTGTTTTACTGGCAGGAGGAGGAGTAAGGGTGGGAGGTGGGGAGGGAGAGATGAAGGGAAAGGGGGACAAAAGAGGGAAAGGCATGAGGAATGAAAAGGTTGGAGAGGCAGGGGAGAGAGAAAAGGTAAAAGGGTATTGGAGACAAGAGAAAAGATGAGCACTTGGGAGAGGGAGGATGAGAGATGGAAAAATGGAAGAGGTGAGCAGGAGGGAGAGGAAGAGGGAACGGTAGATAAGGAGTCAGGAAACCGGAGAGAGTGGTTGCTACGCATTCCCTCAACACTCGTTCCCTCCTATCCAGAGAGCAGTAAAGCGTCAGTAAAATAAAAAAAAGGAAAAAAGCATCACCTGCATCTTAAATGAAAATTTCAATTGAAAAACTTAACAGCCCTTCAAATTGCAGAATTTTACACGCGCCAGTAAAGCCTAAATAACACTCAACACTTAGAGGGAGGGGGGGTGGGGGAAGGGAGGAGAGAGGGAATGAGGGAGGAATGGGGGGTAACAACAGGGGTTATTTTGGTTGGTTGATGGGGGCTGGATCAAGGTGACTGGTTTGTCTTTTGTGGTGAAATTAATTGTAGTTTAGGACTTTGTGTCTGTCTCCCTCTCTGTGCATCTTTCATGTCTGTTGTGGGAATGGACATCGTGACCGGACAGGACAAAGAAAGGCAGGCAAGAATAGTGTCAAATGGATGCAGAACCTCAAATTAGACAAACAGGTAGAGAGACACCCCAACCCTCCGCAGAGATGAATGAGCGTGCAGCGAGGCATGGAGAGAGGCCGGCAGACAAGCACAGAGGCAGACAGGGGGACGGGCTCCTTGGTTATTCGTGGGGTTCAGTGGACCTTTGGTGGTAATTGAATCAGTGTGAGTGCTGAGTAGAGCTAGCATAAAAACCTGTTAACCCAAAAGGTCAACTCTCTGCATTGTTTATTTAGCAGGGAGCCCAGAGAGAGAGAGAGAGAGAGAGAGAGCAAAAGAGAGAGAGACCGCTACACAAAGCACAAACAAGAGAGAGAGGTGGTGGGGAGGAAGGAGGGAGGGGGTCAGAGAAAGGAAAAGAGAAGGAGGAGGAGACAGATAGAAGGAAAGATGTGTTGTTCATGGGACCATTTGTGATCTGTAAAATCAGCCAAGCTTTACATCACCATTTTTACATTGTTGTTTATTTGTGTGGGAGATAGAAAAAATGTCTCTGACTCTCTGTCTCTCTCTTTCTTTCTCTCTCTCTATCTGTGTGTGTGTGTGTGTGTGTGTGTGTGTGTGTGTGTGTGTGTGTGAGTGTGAGTGAGTGAGTGAGTGATTGGCTGCCATAGTAATTCATCTTTGTGTCTGTACTGGTGATGTGCGTCTCTCTGTATTATATTATGTATATACATGTTTGTGTATACTGTACATGGCCAAACTCAATGCCACTTTTTTGTTAATTGCTTATAGGACACGAAATAGTTGCTTTTATAGATAATTAGGGTCAGTAAATCTGACACACTAAGATTTTCAGAAAAGTTTCAACTTTTTAAAAGGGTTTGAAAAGTATGAGACAAAACATTTTAATTGTGCTTAACATTACACAAAGAATAATTTTAAACTTTTAAAGAATTTTAAAAAATTTTCAGAATGAGGACATCCTGGGCCAAACACTGAATGTTAGTTGGCCTGTGAAGAGATAGTCAGTAGATAGTCTGCAAAATATGCACATATTGTACGTACACAACTGTTGTCTCATGCATTCATACTGACAGACACATATAGTGCTTGTGCACTTTATATCTAATACAGTCATGCACGCATACACTCATCTTCTGTCAATCTCTGTCTCTTTCTGTCTCTCCCTTGCACACACACACACACTCACACACATGCACACACACATACCACACTGCCATCTGGGAAAGCCGTTAGCGGTTAGCGGTAGCACTTAGCGACGCAGCACGCTCCCTCAGTCCGCTCAGTCACCTTGATCTGCTTGCCCTTCACACAGCACCATTACTGCTATACTGCATCACTGTGGGTGTGGGCTTGAGTGAGTGTGCGTTAGAAGAAGTGTGTGTCTATGTATATGGACATGCATCTGTGTGTGTCCATTACAGAGCAGTACGGTGGGATGTAAATGCCGAGGGGGGAGGGGGCATTACCTTCAAATGAGCTACCGTGCAGTGAAATATCTCTCTGACTAGTCTTGTGTAGGTTCCTGCAAGAACATGTGCAAGTCATGTGACGTGTATGCTTGTGGCCTTCTGATGTGCATCTCTGTCTGCCTGCATACTTCTAATACTACTTAGGATCATTTTGCGTTCTGGACATGAAAACTTAAGGCGCTCCCAGGTAATGAAAATGGCAGTGAACATGAAAACACAGTGCACCCCAACCCAGTGTGACGTTGGGCTGAAGTGTTCCCATTAACCCAGTCTGGCCAACACATCACCTCCATCACCTGAATTCCCTGCTGAAAGAAGCACAGACTCACATTCAAACAGTCACAAGTACTGCATGAATCCATAAATACAATCTTGGGTTGCTTGGTGAGAAATTGAGAAAGAGAGTTTTCATGTTAATCCCTTGAATAGGGATGGCAAAATTGCTCTTTGTCCTTCTGATGTCATTCTTGATGTTACTTGTCAAATAATTCTTTAGAACAAATCCTCTCTTCTCACTTTTATTTCTCATTCCTTTATAAGCACACACACAAAAAGTATGTTTACCTCTTGCTTTTCTTCACCTCTCCCTCTCTTCATCTATTCATCATCTTGCTTGTCTGCAGGTCCAGGACCAGTCGACAGCCCAACTGTATCAGGGCTTCATCCTCGAAGTGTAACAGTTACCTGGGTTCCTCCCTCACAACCAAATGGCATTATCAGTAGTTATACCCTCTATCTTTGGCCCAGCTGTATCTCTTCTTTTGATTTCAAACCCAGCTCAGTCTCCAGCTCCAACACAACCCTCAGCTCCTGCTTAGGTCCTTCCTCAGGCCTACTGCCCAACACTGCACATCTCAACTCTGGTCATAGCCTCAGGCCAACAGCCAGTCTTACCTCCCCTGGCTCAAGCCACATCCCCATGTCTGCTTTCAACACGGGCACTAATGGCAGCTCAAACACAATCCAAGGCACTCGACCCAACCTTGTTCCTAAATCTTTCTCGAGCTTGAAGCCTGTTATTACAGAAGACAACCATATTGAGCCCACTCGTGTCAGCAATACAAGCCAAGGTCCCACTTCCATTTCATTCCACCACAATGAATCCAATACCACCAGTGTAAGCCCCAGCCATTTAGTCTATAACCCAGACTATAATGCAACCACCTCTAACACTGAACCTTTTATAATACAAGACCCATTTCAAAGCCTGATCTCCAGTTCCTTTAGTGAAGCTTCAGACTTAAATGCATTCCCTCTGTCAGTCACTGTTCCAGGGAACACGACTAGCTACACTTTCCTCGATCTACTGCCATACCACACCTACAGCCTCCAGGTACTATATAGTATAGTGTATATATAGTATAGTATATATAGCACAGTATAGTGGAAGATTATAACTTTATGGTGACGTTCTGCTAGAATACAGTACTGTATTGTATAATACAAAAGATTTAACAAAATATTATACAATTACAAAACATGTAAATACAAATTATAATGTTGCAATTAAACAATGTTTCTCTCATATCATGCTCTAGTGATGAATATAAAACAATAACTAGATATTTTCCTGGCATTTCAATAATCATCTGCCATGATGATCTTGGCAGTTGAATGTGCCAGAATTTGAACTTGTAGAAAGAAAACTGTTAGCATTATTGTGGTGTTACAAAATTGTTCTCCAATATCTAGCTGGAAGTGTGCACCAGTGTGGGTTGTTCGATGTCTGGGATGTCTCAACTGTTTCGTACCCTCCCGGCTCCGCCTGAAGGGGTTCCAGCACCTCACCTTTACTCCGACACACCCACCTCTGTTCTCTTGTCCTGGGGTGCACCAGTGTTGAGCAATGGACCACTGGATCGGTGAGTGATGACTGCATACAAATCAATCCCTGTGTGACTCTCATATTTGTATGTAATTATCTTTTTTGATTTCTACTGTATCTTGTACTGAGGGTAGGTGGCTGATTGAGCGTAGAGTTGCTGGGACCAAACAAGTCTCCACAGTGGGCCATCTCCCACCAGATTCTCCACCTCTTTCCTTTCTGGACTCTTCATCAGCTCTCAGTCCCTGGACTAGCTACCAGTATCGACTTGTGCTCCATAACCAGGCTGGCAACACCGCAGGTAAGATCATAATGAATTATGACCTGAAATTAAATTCTTCATCTGACCAAGATATGTGTAATGGTAATTCCCAACTTTGCGATAAACATAAAGGTGAATACTTCCACCCCATGTTTTTTCACACTAGGACCTTTAACAACAAATTGTTACATACTTGCAGGACCATGGGTCAGCATCACCACCAGACCTTCTCGGCCAGCTGGTCTCAGTCCACCAAGGGTGACGGTATTGGGGCCGGATTCATTTCAAGTAAGGGTGTCTAGTTGATTTTTTAAAACTAAAAAACTAAGAAGTTTACTAAAAACCCATCGGTTTGGTTTGGTAGAGCTAATATAATCTAAGCCAGTCCTGCTGCTAATGAATTACAATATTTCCTGTTACATTTAAAAGTCTCAGAATCTCAGAATGAGTATGTAGACTTTATAAAATGTTTAAGTTTCTTTAATCAGACAAAATATACAAAACATATAATACAATGAGAATCTCCTCAGTCACTCCGGGTTTGACGGAAGTGTGGAGTAGAAAAGACAAAGCAATGTCACACTGATTCTTCTGTCTCTCCCTTTTGGGATTTAATGAGAAAGAAAAACATTCAACTCAAGGTCCCCTTCAGAAAAAGGGTGGGGCTGTGACCCTGTCTGAGGCAGCTTCCTTCCTGTCGGCCATTTTGAAGGAGGGGCCAGAGTTAAATTCCAGCACTGGCTAATCCCACATCAAGGCCTATCAGTGAAAGCCCCTGAAACAATATTGTATGCAAGCACATACAGAGACACACACACACACACACACACACACACACACACACACACACACACACACACACACATGCACTCACAGCCCTGCACTAATGCTAACTGCAGAAAAATGCTAATGCCTGTCATCATTTCAGATCCGCCCCTGTCATCTCTGCGGCAGCACAGCTTTAGGGGTCACAGGTCCGAGAAGGAAAGTTTTCCTTCCTGGTTGTTGCTAATTGGACAGATAGGCAGGCCGCTTCCTGGTTACCAATTGACCTTGACAACACAGAGACGATTTTGAGTATCTCCATTCAGTCTCTAAATGGTTTCTTTTTCTTTTCTCTCCTTCGTTGCATATATCACTCCTTCCTCATTGAATTATTCACTCTTTCACTCTCTCTTACTATTACCCTGTTTATATTTTGTTTTCCATTAGCTTTTGAGAGTTTTGTTGTTCTTTAAGTAGTGGCATGGCATCTAGCGCACTGAGATGGTAAAAAGAGAGTGATGCAGTAAAGCAAAATGACATCACAGACACGAAATAGATTTTTTGGGGGTATACACACATTTTACAACAGAAGTTTGCCCAGGGGTTGTGTACAAAAAACTTAAGGTTAAATAAGGCAACATTTGCAGATGTGAATGATACATCTGGCCAAATGCCTTCTGTTCAGATTTTTTTTGTGTGTGGGAATTCTGCTTTGTGTCTGATTCACAGCTAGAAGTGATTATTTCTCATCTCGGAACCATAGATTTTTGCCAAGATAGTTGTGGATTTCATGGTATTTAGTTAGTAATGCTGAAGGCTTGTCAATAAACTTAAGTGAATCAAACCATTATTGTGATTTGAGCTTGTCAGGATCTGTGTTATCCACCATAGATAATTTTCATTTTTAACTACAAATCAGAGAAAACTGAAAGATTTCAGACTTAATTCCAAATCCTGACAATATAAATCTACCTCCATATGCGAGCAATCATGTCAACGCATGAACAAGAATATTTTACTTGTATTGTCAGCTACAGTGGTTGGCATTCTCTTAGTACCTTGGAGTTTTCTGTCAGTATAGTAGCATAGTTGCTCAAAGACACACACACAAAAACCACATCCTTACACACACACCTCTTCTCTTTCACTCTCAACTTTATCATCCATCTCTCTCTCTCTCACTCATATACACATAAACACATATACAAATACACACACACATACTGTACTGGCCTTAGACCCAGTGCTCCGTGTCAGCTCAGGGTCTCCGCTGTCTTCACCATCTCCAGATTACATCAGGCTATTCAATCTGTAAATGACTTCCACCACAAAGCACACCCAACACGCACTTTGGGAAATGAGCTACCTAACTCAACATGACCCTGCTTTCTGTGTTGTGTGTGTGTGTGTGTGTGTGTGTGTCTGGTGTGTGTGTGTGTGTGTCCTGTATTATCTCTCAGTGTCACTTGTTAAATGAATATCAAGGTTGCATAAGAAATAATTAGTCTTGACGTTCATTCATAATACTCTCATCAACACTGACCACTTAATCACCTAAACTCTCAACAAGCTCTTAACAGATCGGTTAATGTACATGACAGTTTGAATCCATAAGTGTGTTAGAGCGTACAGTCAGAGACACAGGTGTGTGTGTGTGTGTGTGTGTGTGTGTGTTTGCACGAGCGCACATGTAGTTTTTAAATTTACATACACCAGACATAGGCATGTGTCTGTATGTGTATGTATAACAAAACATTTATTTTATAGATGTCTGTAATTCAAATATGCATAGGTGTGTGTGTATGTGTTTGTAAGTATGTGTGTGAGTATGTGTGTGTGTATTACTATTTGTGCGTGTGCCAGTTACCCTCATCCTCACTCTGAAATGCTGACAGACTGAACTGTTTCCAAATCAGATGCAGTGCTCAACGACAGCAAGCTTTTGTTTTTGCATGCAGCAATTCCATTACCAGCCGCTTTCATTATTTTAGCATGGTGTTTGTGCACGTGTGCGTGTTTCTGTGTGTGTTTGTGTGCACCCTCTTTTAAATGTGATGAAAGGAATCTTCTGCTCAAGTCAAAGTCAGGTTATCTTTCCCCACAAGAGAATTGAACACACACACACACACACACACACACACACACACACACACACACGCACACACACACACACACACACACAGTGACCATCCTAATGCTGTACGTGCACATATACGGGTGACACACACAGATACTACCTGTGTGATCGCACTGATAGCACTCAAACCTGACCACACATGCATTCACACTCTGATTTAGATATGTGTTTGCATGTGGACACACTGCAAACTGTGCACATACACACATGCATTATGCCATGACTTCCTATAGTTCATCCATGTAAAAGCTTTTTGCCGTCCTCAGTATGCCGAGAACATTTAGAATGCCCAATGAGATGACTTTTCTTGAATGATGATAGGACAGTAAGAAAGGAATATGTGAACTAAGCCTTTAGTTTTCTCTGTACTACACAGATTTATCTGAATACTGTCAAATAAACAACCCAGAACTTAAATCTAACACACTTATGTTTCAGGTCACATGGACTCCTCCTCTTATTCCTAATGGAGAAATCCATGGCTATGAGATCCGCCTCCCAGAACCCCGAATCTTCCATAACAGTGGCAACGCATCTGAGCTCAACATCAAAATAACAGACCTTATTCCATACACAAACTACAGTGTTACTGTGTTGGCATGTTCTAAGGGTGGTGGACAAGTCGGAGGATGTACAGAAAGCCTGCCTACTCCAGCTACCACATTACCCACAAGCCCTCAAGGCCTTGCACCACTGTCAGTTGTGGCAGTCAGTGAGTCTTTCCTGGCCATTTCCTGGCAACCACCAAGCAGGCCTAATGGACCTAACATCAGGTAACATTGACATTGCACAGAAGCCACACCACACTGCTGCTCCCTCTTAGTTGACGATTCGCAAGATACTGATTTGCAAAGATGCGCCGTCACAGACAAATTCCCTTGTTTTCTCTTTCTAATCAAAACTGGAATCAACTTGGTTGATACCAATAATAACACTAGTACAAATGCCAGTCAGTGTTGGGAGTAACATGTTGAATTACTGTAATCACATTATTGTTCTCAGTGACGCAGTAGTGGTAACACACTACCATTGATTCAGTAACTGCACTACATTTACTAGCCTAGTGAAAATTGTTTACTATGTAGAACACAACATTTTGACAGAATTCTGTTTGTTGCATTTAAATTTAACACCTATGTCAATAATTATCAAGGAAAATAATTTTACCCTGGCCTGGCTGTCTGAAGTTGTGTGTACACTGGAGAAGTAAAGAAAGTACAAACTGGCAGATGAGGAACGATAAATTGCATATTTGTCAAGTGGAAATATCATTCAGAATATACGCCAATTATAACAAAAATCTCACCACAAAATGTATATAGTATGAAGATTAGATGTACCTGTGCTATGGATCAGCTGCTTTCAAAACACATTGAGACAAAGGTTGAAGGAATTTAACCAAGAGAAAGAAAAGGGAGATTATTAGTTTATAATAGTTTAGGTCAAGCAGATACACATCCAAAATCCAATACTAATTATGAAGACCCAATCTGTGTAACCATCATAAGTTTACATAATCTAAGTCAACTCTGTTTTCATTAATTGGCTACCGCCTAGAGTTAGAAACCAGACAGCCAAGACTGAAATGTAAAGCATGTTGTTATTGAGAGACACGTCCTGGAGATGTTCAATTGCAGCTGAAAACCTTATGAAAACGAGCAGACAGGAACACGTTAACAAGCTGCTAACATGAGTGTCCTGGTAATGAGCTAAGTGTTGTGCATTTTTTAATCAGTGTTTTCTCAGTCCTAATGCACATTCCGGTCCGTTTGTTCTGTCCTGTTCTACTCTGTCGGCGATTAGGCCTAAAATAAAGGTCCATTTTCCTGGCAGACGATTAAAATGCATGAGCCCGTCTCTCTGTTCTGCTCTGCTCAGCTCTGTGTGTTTGTCTAAGTGGGTTGGTTAAAAGGCGGCATTAAGCCCTTCTCTTCTGATTACAGCAAAAATTAGCATCACTGTGGGGAGAGGAAAACACAAACCCTGCAGAAAAAAACAACAGAGGGAGGGGCGTAGGGAGGGAGGGGTGAGATACAGTGAGCGCAAAAGAATAGAGATGATGAAAAACAGCAGAAGAGGAGGAAATGAGTGATAAGGAGACGAGTCAGTTGAAAATTGTGTGTGTGTGTGTGTGTGTGTGTGTGTGTGTGTGTGTGTGTGTGTGTGTGTGTGTGTGTGTGTGTGTGTGTGTGCGTGCGCGTGCGTGTGTGCGTGTGCGCGCGTGCGCGTTCCCTTATGCAGGCATGTGTATATTTCCATGAGGGTACTGTGCGCTCATCTTTGCGCATTTGGGTACATGTGTTGTGTGTTAATGCATTCCTAAACATCCTACCGTGTGTGTGTTTTCTTTTATTCAAAATCCCCCTTCAGATACAAGTTGCTCAGACGTAAAACCCACCAGCCCCTGGCCATCGCCACGGTCCCCACAGTAACAGCCACATCCCCTCCCCCCTCTGAAGATCTCCATCGCTGGCTCCATGTTTACTCCGGCACCAAATTGTTCTACCAAGATAAAGGCCTAAGCAGGTGAGATTACTGAAATGAGCTCTAGAGCAAACGCCGGCGCCGCAGCAAACCGTGTGTGCAGAGCTGATCGGCGAGCTGCCGCTGATGCCGATCTTTTAATACCGCTCAAAGATACATTAAGCAAATATCCCAAAGAATTAAATTGTTTTTCACACAGCGTCCCCTAATCTCAGTTTGGCACTTGGTGGAAGCTGATTTTTTTTTCCTCTCTATGCTTGCTAAACGGCTCTGGGTATACTCTTTTCGGGTTTGTGTCTCTACTGTGCTTTATTCAAGAAGTAAACTGACAAACATTTGAACGTGTCAGCATTTTTCTCTTCGCTTGGGTTTTTGATCGATGTCCAAGAAAGAAGTTCATGAAGAAGTTATTAGTGTTTGTGTAATAGATTTTAATAGATCTGCTATATTAGCAGACCTAACTGCAAAGAAAAAGAAATGTTGAGCAACTTTAGCGTGAACGAATAGACAAAGACAGACATTGCTGAAATTACAATCTTCTTTATCCAACTTACAGAGCAACACTATCATTTCTGTTATTTCTTAATTCGATCAATGGGGCTTTACAGTTTCAGGCACTACTTGCACCAGGAGTTCGTCTACAGTAGCATTTATTTTTTTCTAACACAAATATTGTCTGTCAACAGATTCACTCGATACGAGTATCAGTTAGTGGTCCATAATGATGTGGGCTACTCCTCAGGAGAGATTGTTACTTCGGTGACCATGGCAGGGGTTCCCCTCCACTCTCCATCTCTGTCTGCCCACGCTATCAATCACACTGCAGTACAGGTCAACTGGACACAACCCTGTAAGATTACCCTCTGTCTTAAACACACACACCCAAACACACACTTTGCCCAGCAAAGGTCTTTGTCCAGAAAGGTTTGAAACTCTTGTTTTTCACAAGGACAGAAGAATAAATACACACACATTAGATGCACACACAAGCATTTTCATGACATGATATTCTGTGGAGATTATTCTGTCACTTGACAATTATCCAAAAGCAAAAATAAAGACTCAAAATGATGATTATTTATGATGATGATATGATGATCTTATTTTGACTACTCCCTCACTTCTCTCCCTCCATCTTCATTTCTCAGCTTTGCAAGACCTGCAGGGAGAAGTGGAATCTTACTTTCTCACAGTAGAGTCTCGTCAGTCAAGTCAAATCTTGACTTTACCCCCTGAGATCAACTCCGCAGTGATATGTGACCTTTGGCCCAGTACCACATATCTAGTGTCATTACAGGTGTTCAATGGAGCACATAATACAACTAAGGCAATAGTTAACGTCACCACTGAGGATGGAGGTATGTGTGCATTTTTGTCATTTTTGGCCAACTGCTGATTTTAGAAACTGGTTTGCATCCTTACTTCATATTTATGTGAGGGTGTGGTTGTGCGTGTGTCCATATCAGTGTTTCATGTACAGTGCATAAATTCAATACATCCAAGAGAGGGGTCTGTGTTAATGTGCATTTCTCTGTGTCTCTGTGCTTCACAGGAGATGTTAAACACATCATGTAGTGAGGCATGAAATCAATACAAAGTGTGTGTGTGAGGCAGATTTAAGGTGTTGTAAAATGCTTGTTGGCACCACACACAAACACACACAAACTGCACACACAGCCACATACACAAGATGTGTTCTACCTGTCAAAGAAGACGGCAAACATGACTCTTCCCATGTCTTTTGGAGACATATATATATACTTTACTTTACAATACTGTTACAGTACATCACCTGGACTTTAATTCTATGGAAAAAATAAAATAAGAAAAAATGATATCTGTCCTCGATGTTCAAATGGAAAATAGGCAACAACATTGTTATGAATTGCATCTTTAACAGAGCCTCGTCTATTCTCAGCTTTAGCTGTCTCTGCATAATCTGTTAATATTTTTTAAATTAATAACTGGATCTTTTTATTAGAATGTAAAACCTGGAGCTTTGAAAGAGTATATTAAGTGGAATATCAGTAAAGTATGTCAGTTCTTGGATCTACTGGTATTTCTTTTTCAATCAGGGTCAGCTTTTACTATCTTTAGTTATGAATTGCACAGGCTATCCAACTGTCATCAGGACTTTTCTTTCCATTTCCTCTTCAACTCTCAGTGCAGTCTTTCAGCATTTAAGGGTTATCTTTCAAATCACTTTGTGTAATCATATGTCAGAGGCTGCTTACTGTGTCTGTTGTTTTCTTTCTGTCTTCATTTCCCTCTGAATCCCTCTCTCTGACCATCTCTCTGTCCGTTTTTTTCTCTGTCTCAGTATAATCATATGTCAGAGGACTCTCTTTCTCTCTAATCTGAGCAGTATAATAAAAAGTGCATTAAAAACATTAGAAAATCATTAGGTGCTAAAGGCAAAGCACGGCTCGTTTAACTGAGAGGGCTCTGGAGGTAATTTCATTATTTTACAGCCATAAGAGTGCACACACACACACAAATGCACACACACACACCAAGGCCAAATATATTTTAACTAATGCAGCTCAACCCTACCAACCATCCTAACATGGCCTGCAATCTATAGGGCAATGCTAACATCAGGACTAATTGGCAAGAAAAATGTGTGTGTATGTCCGTGTGTGTATGAATGAAAGAGGCTCAGTGTGCAGTATTGCGTTGATAATGCCATCTTGCAGTAAATGAAATGTAGAGCAGTAGGTTGGGTTTAGGTAAGTGCATTGGCAGCAAATGAATTGGGTTAACTTCTCTTAGCTGAGTGCATTTTCACTTAGAATAATAGATGGAGTCTGTGTGATTACCTGTCTCACGCACCGTCTCTCATATTCACTACCTCTGTGTTTGGTTTTCTTTCTCAATTTTCTACTTACAGCTTTATATCCATTATCATTTGAAGAAAACATTATACAGATAAATTAAAAGCACTCTCTGATCTTTATCCTTCTCTTTGGCATTTAATTTATTTTATTCCCTGTCCCTATATTTCCTCTCACAGATTATCTCTTGCTTGTCCTCTATTTGTCAGATTTCCCAGTGTCCTTCAGTGTCTCTGTAATTCACCCCTTCATTTTGCCTCTGTATCCGTAACTTATTTCCTATAGGTTGCCATACTATATTAATCACCATAGGAATTTTGATGTAGTATCATCTGTGGATGTGCTGACGGAGAATTTCTTGGAAGAGTGAAGTAAAGAAACTAAAGGAATTAGATCGAAGGGACAGGGAAAGAGAGAGAAAGAATATGATAACACAACTCAGAAAGGGAGAGACGGTCTCAAAGAAAGATTCAAAGTTAACTTGGAGATCAAGAAAAAGAGTGAGCTGATTGTACAGAAACTATCAATTGACAATGCACTCAGCTAAGAGAAGCTAAGTCAAGTCAGTTTTTATTTATATAGCGTCAAATGACAACAGAAGTTACCTCAAGGCACTTTTCATATTGAGCAGATCTGAACTGTACTCTTTATAATATTGATTACAGAGAGGGCGGCCATCTGCCTACCACTTTTTGAATGAGGGATGGTTAAAAGTGTTGAAGTGTGACGTCTGAAATGTTTGTTGGGCTGTGTCTCCTGTCATTGTGTGAAAATAGAAAACTTTGAAAGAAGTTTGCATGATATCCACAAAATATGCCCAGGTTGAGAATGATACTTGTCTGTTGTAAAATGTCACTTCTATATACTGGGGATCTCATAGTCCAAACACATAGTTTCCCTTTTTTTCACAAGTCTGGTCTAATTATCACTAATAATGCAGCACTGTTTAGGGGCATTTAAAAAATGTGTTAGTGATGTGGCTTTTGTGTATAAAGGAAAAAAAAAAAAAAAAATGGAAGCACTGTACAAGAAGTTATCATGGTGTAAAAATTTGCATCAAAAAGTCATAGCACAAATACCATCTTTTGTAGCTTTGTTCTTACGTTACTGCACAGTAACAGTCGAGGTAGTCCATTATGTAAAAGCTTACATGTGAGGTTGAGAACACTGGTTTCATCACATGTATGTTTGAAGATGGCCATGTCTCCAGTCTTCAAGCTGTAAAACATTTTGTTCTTTAAGAATGAAACAATTCTGGGTTTCTGTACTCACATGTGCCATCCTCAGAGCCAGACGGGATGTCCGCCGCAGAGGTGGTTCCAGTAGATAGCAACACGGTGCGTGTGCTCTGGTTCCCTCCTCTACAGCCCAATGGAGCAATTACTGGTTACTACATCTACGTTAATGACCGTCTCCATGGCAGTGTAGACAACAGCTCTGGGTCCCTCCTGCTGCGGGACCTACTGCCTTTCACTGTCTACAACGTACAGGTACGCATGCAAAGAAACATACATACCCAGACACAGACAAGCAAACATGTGAATTATGTTTTTGTCTGCTGTGTTGGTGTGTGAATTTCAGGTGGAGGTGTGTACTGTGTATGCATGTGTGAGAAGTAATGTTACTCAGACAACTACTGTGGAGGATCTACCTGCTGACCTGGGCACGCCACATGCACAAGTGATCAGTCCCAGGTAATACAGACATGTACTGCACGTATTTTTTCAGTGATTCTGTCACTTTCTGCATTATCTCACATGTCTTCTTTTTCTGAATGACAATATGTCTTAACCATTTTTTTGAGAGTTGCCATTGTTCCAGGTTCATGAAATTTTACAGCCCTTGGTTTGAGTGCAGTAATCGTTAATGTTTATCGGCAGCACAGAAGGTTGGTTTGCAGGTTTGACACAACAGAATCAATACAGCTGGCACCAACAGCAAGTTGTGGAGCAATTTGACAGGACTGTATAAAAATGTTATTTTACTCGGCATTAGTAATCTGTGTATCAATAAGCTATTGCATTATTAATTTTTTTTTATTACACAGTGTCAGTTGTACTTAAAAATCCAATTCTGTGGGCAAAAACTTTAACTGTATTTATTCCTGCTTCTGTAAAACATACAGCCCTCCAAGACACGATGATTGTTGCATATATTCATCTTCAGAAGTCTATCAAGATTGAAATACTTTTTAGTATGAAATACACTTAAAGTATGTAAAATGTTTAGCATACATTAATCCTCTAAAATACTGTATTCTATAATTGAGATTACCTGATTTAATAAAGGTTATGTAAAGTCTTCTGACTGTATAATTTAATCAGATTATCTCGAAGTTGCTTTTTGACAGCCTCCAAAATGAATAAAGTATGAAGGTAAACTGACATTTTGTTTGTAGTTAGTTAAATTTAATGACATTTAAAATGCTCTTCTACCCATGTTTGACCTAAGCCATAACGTTGCAAATCTTCCAGTTGCAAAGGAAGTGGTGATTTGTGGCTTATTTTCTCTCTGGGAGACTGTGGAAGTTGTAACTCTGTGTGTTACTACACAGGTCTTTCCCTGCCAAAGATGTCAGAGATAAAACAGAGGAAAATCAATAGTGTGAAGTGTATAAAGATACACACACCCTGACACTGTAACTCAACTTTGTCAAGCATTAACCATGCATGAATGCGTGTGTGTGCATGAATGCAAGTCTCACTCTCTCTCTTGCAGGGTGGTGAGGTTGGACTGGTCCCTTCCAGGCAGACCCAGTGGCATCATGCTGGGTTACGAGGTTTTAAGACGGACCTTGAGGTCGTGTGCCAGTGGGTCAACAGGGGTCACATCCTCTGTGGGGGAAGAGTCAGAAGGTGGAGGTGGTGTAAGGTTCAGATGTTCCTACCTGCAGTGTCCTGTGAACCATGGTGTGTGTGGGACATCCTGCTTCAATCCTGACATACAGGTGATTATGTTCTTGACATTTTGTACTTATTGTATTTGTCTTGTATTCTTCCTTTCTGCCCTGTGTTGAAGGATATGCACAGGTCAATATCATACTGATTGTTCTAGAAGACTGCATTTTTTATTTTTTGCCTTGCTTCCTTTTTTTTTTTTTAACAAAGTCGAGAGTATCACCTGGAACAACACACACTTTTGTATGCAACATATGATGTGGGTGTGTTGTTGACATGTGGAATAAATTACATATTGATTGATTATGGATGATGCATTTTGGGGGAGGGGGGTATTTTTCCTCTCTTCTCCTCTGCTATTTTTTCATCTTTCCTCTGTCATAATCCTCTTTCCTCCGACCTTTTCACCTGGATACAAGAGTCCCTTTTAACAATAACTTGTCATGAGTAATCATTAAAACCTTTGCTGTACAACAACAACAGTGTGTAAAACAACAAAGAAGTCCAGGGTCTTTGCTTTGGCTGCTGATCTGAAGTGGAGAATAAGAAAACAGCATTGCTGTGTACTCCCTCAGGATATTAGTCCTCACCAGACCTCACACACACAAGTACAAAAAGACACATAGAGACCCTTAGACAAATACACACTCGCATTTCCTCTTCTAAGTGCATGCTACTTATATGGGATGCATAGCCATCCTATGAGTGATTAATTTCTCTAAACAGATTAACTTGTCATCTATATTCACTTCCATCCTTGTGTCACTGAATGCCAGCCAAGTTGGCACAATGAAACCACCCGCCATACATTTACCCCCACAGCACCCAGTGGCACATACAAAAACAACATTTATTGTATGTTCACACATATAAATACACACATACCCACCTATTTAAGTTTTGCAAGTGGAGATGCTTAGATGGAGCACATGCAAATCCACACTCATGAACCTAGAAAAAATCCCTGTATATCAGTAACATGACTCACAGAATCCTCCATTATAATGTATGTACACGTTTACAACACAAAACAGATGTGTTCAGTACACACACTGCTTCCTTTGAAGGTTAATGAAATAGTATTTGTCATGTCTTGAATGAAACAGTATGATATGTTCAGAGTTTTGTGTTCAAACTGTAATGCTCACCAGAGTCCCATAAAGTCTCAAAGAAACTGTATTTCATTAGCGTCTAGCCTTCATAATTAAGCATATGCTATATTGGCACTTTGTGTTAATGCTGACAAAAGACACAGATTTAATAAGATGTCATTTCTACATTTAGAACAGAAATCAGTATTATCAAAAAAGGGTTTATGAATGTAGACACCAAATAATATACCACTGTTTCCATTTGAGCCACTATAGAAGTGATGAAGTTAAAGATTTTACATGATGGAGCCAAAGACAGTTAAGTAACATGAAGTAAATTTACTCAAGTACTGTACTAGTACAGTTTTGACACACTTGTACTTTATGTGAGTAATTCCCTTTTATGCTTAATACTTCTACTCCACTACAATTTGGAGACAAATGTACTTTCTACTCCACTGCTTTTATTTAAAACTTAGTTGACAGTTACTTTGGAGATTTAGATTATTAATACAAATTATAGTAAATAAATAAATTAAATAAATTATGATATTATGATATAGTATAGCAGTTATTGTCTTCACCACCTTAAACTTTGAACTTTGTGCATTAAGGCATTAATTGTAATACAATAATATATATTATTGTGAAGTGGGCCATTCTACATATTGAGTACTTTTACTTTTTAGTGAGTGCAGGCCCACATAGGAACATTGCCCGTATCCTGTTTGGTAGAGAGTCACTTTCAAAGCCCACACATAAGTAGTTTTATTTCACTATCTGTCCATTAATGTGGATTTTGTTCTGTGCATACTCTCTCATATGTGTGCATCTGTGCGTATCTGTATGTTAACTAGGTTTGCTGCAGTGGACTATTGTACACTAAGAAGCCACATCATCATTGCTGCGAGAGCAGTTACCTGAATTTGAATAATTCGTCCAACCCGGTTTGCTGTAACGGCAAACTGCTCCCAGCTCTCCCTGACCACCAGTGCTGTGCAGAATACTATGTCCATGTAAAAACCAGTAAGTTTCAGATTGCTTCATGTGTTCATATTTACATGGGATTTGCTCTTTTCTGCTTGACTTGAGTTTATCCTTTTCCATGTTGTTCAAGTGTTTCCTTCATCTGTCCTTGTCTTTGTAGATGAATACTGCTGTCCTGACCACTCGCAGGGCCGGGTCTCAGTGGGGCTGGGTGACAGCTGCTGTGGGGGGGTTCCTTACTCCATGAAAGGCGGCCAGCTCTGCTGTAGTGGGAGCCTTCGTGATGGCTATGGGGTCCAGTGCTGTGGAGGCTGGATTGTAGACGATACACTGGTGTGCTGCGGTGATGCTGAGAGAGGGGAAGTGTATATATATACCCCAGGTTAGTGAAGGAAACACACAAACATAAACATCCAATGTTGTTACAATAGGGTTTTTTCTCAACATTGAAAGCACTCGGGGGGAAGTTTGATGGCCCGCTGAGCCTGTTTGATACAGAGCTGCTTTTGTGTAGAGAAAATCCTTTACTGTAAAGTCGAATCAACCAAAGGGTTTTTGTTCAGAAAACTGGTTACTCTGGCCAAAAAATGATTTTGTCAGAGTTTGGTAATGTCTTCATGTTTGTAGGGGGGAAAAGGAGAAAGTGATGGAAAAGATAGAAAACGACGGGACAAGAGAGTAAAGCAAGGAGGGTTGAGTTAGACACATGGTGCAGGAACGTGGGGTCGTTTCCCTTTCCTCCTCTCCTGCAGTGTCCCAAAGCACCCGGATACCATGGCACAGATGGGACTGTGTGTGTGTGTGTGTGTCTGTGTGTCTGTGTGTCTGTGTGTCTGTGTGACTCTCTGTGTGAGTGTGTCATTAGACATCTTTGTCATGGCAGATGATGATGAAACACACTTGGGATGGCACCATTGAGGGCACTGCCAAGCACACAGCAGGACAAATACACACTCATTCTCTCCTTCACACAGACACACACACACACACACACTCTCTATCACACATATAGACATATTACATGCACCCACACATACACACGAACATGCGTGCACGGAGTCAACAGGGTTCCCTCGGCAGGGTTCGCTTAGTGTTGAGTGCCAGAGACAGACACGTGGACTCTATTCATCACACATAAACAATGGCCCCATATGGGCAGGCCTATAGTACTCCATTAGCCTACCCGCAAACACACTGACACACACACAAGATCCCTGCCCACATAAAAACGCATGTATGCCCACTAAAAAGTTCCTAGAAAGCAAGTTAACAAAAGAACAATACTTTTATTTCAAATATTTTTAGATTTCATGGCTGTTATCATTTCTTCCTCTCCCTTATTATGAAAAAAAAACTATTTTCCTGCCTTGTTTTTTTTTTCAACCAGTTGTATTTTTATGACATTGTTGATAACTCACTTTTTCTCTCACAGTTTTCACATTCGAATACTGAGTAAACACTTATTCATTTTTTTGTATACTATTCTGCTCTATACCATTGTCACTTGTTTCGTCTCATCTGTCTCCTTTTCTCCACTATATCCTCTTTTCTCTTCCAACTGAGCAGGCTACATGGTCATCCTTCATTTATGGAGGCCTCCCAAGGAGTGCATATGCTCCTCTTCCACTCCACCTCCTTCTTTTATTTATTTCCCATCTCCTCTTCTCCTTTGTCATCTTCTTTGTTACTTTTCCTCAACTTGTTTCCCCACCTTCTCTGCCTCTTCATCTGGCTTCTTGCTCTTACCATCTTTTCTTCCTCCCCATCCTACTCCTCTCCCTCCCTCCCTTTATGCCCCCTTCCTTTCCACTCATCAGTCATTAGCGTTAGCTTCCCCATTGAGAACATATGGTATGATGGATCGTAGGGCTAGCGGCGCTAGCAAGGCTAAGGGCCATTTGCCGGGTGCACTGCGCTGTCGGGGAGCCCTGGGGCCGGCTCTGCAACCTCGACCCCACACGTCTGTTTCAAGACACTCACACAACATGCACACAGCAACACCTATTATAGGATAGGATACTTAACCTTGGCACCACTCGTTCTCATTGCTCCCTCTCACCATGTCCAGGGTTTTGTGTTTTTAATGATGAGATTTTAGAAAGAAAGAAAGAAAGAAAGAAAGAAAGAAAAGTAATGAACAATGAAATGAACAATGAAAATGCAAATAAGAGAGGACTACTGATTAAATGGAATTCCATTTAAAGTAAATAATAGCGATGCATACAAAATGAATACATAGTCAAAAAGTAAGGAGTGAAAGAAATACAAGAAAGATACAAATAAAGTACAGTTTTATTACAAACACTAAAGAAATAAATTGAAAGAAAGAATCAAATAAAAATGACGAAGCTAGAAAGACAGAAAGATGAGATGTAGAGAAACAAAGAAACAAAGATATTTAAAAATGGTTTAAAAATTTATCAGGTAAAGGAAACGGAAAAAAACAGAGAAAGAGGGAGAAAGTAAGTGTGAAAGAAAGCAGGAGAGAAGAGTGGTGAAGAGCTAGATGGAGCAGATTAAAGGAGGAGTGAAGGGTATCCCATTGTGCCCAGCTGATAGACTAGGTTAGGCTGATGTGATTATGGGGTCCCTGAAGTGCGATCTATCACACATTACCGTCCACACTGTCAACAACCATACACACACACTGCAGGGGAACAGCAATGCCAGGAGACAGCCGTCTGGCAACAGATACACGTATTGGCTTGCATGCACATGTGCACATGTAGTTATACACACAAGCAACCGTACACGTACACAACAACAATCATACTCAAACACACACACTCACAAGAAAACATGCATGTGTAAACACACTGAGTAGCATGTACGTGTACAGTCATCCAAAAATATGCAACACACAGTTGCAAGAGCACATAACACACGTGCTCTAGGCTGGACTGTTTGATTTGAAAATCATCCAGGTGAAATATAATCAGGGTAAGAAAAGTCATCTTGCCCAATCTGTCCCAAAGAAGCACAAAGAACAAAAAAAAAAAAAAAAAGCCGAGCTAGTGGACAGTGTTGTCTTCATTTCATTTCGTTGGGTTTAACAAACTGTTCTCTCTCTGTATAGTGTATACGTATAGTGTAAGTGTAATGTTGCTGTCCACCATACAACCACCAGTTTATGCACCTACTCAACCTACACTCTGGCATATTTTAAGTTTTGCGTATATTTATGATTGTTGCTCTGTAATGAGAGAGAGTTTATAGTGCAAATGTGAACTGGAATTTTATGACTAGTCTACTGTTTAGCCTACTTCATGTAGGCCACTCTTATTTACCATTTGGGTTTGTGTGACTTTGGATTTAAAGCTGCTATAAATGGTATTTGTGATTTCCAAGTTGGGAATCCCTCAGTGCTAATATAAAAAAAAAAAACCGTGGCAGAAGACAGCCATGCAGGCCACTTCTTCAGCAGAAATCTAGATGTGTTGACCAGGTTTCTTGAATCCTTTACCTCATTTACAGAAACTGGTTTCACTACTCAGTCATCTGTCTCAAGTGTATCTGACAGAACAGATTTGAATTTTAATCAGCACACCAACTGCGCGATGGCTTGCACCTCACTTGGGTTTCAGTCACATAACTGAGACACAAAGCCTCTATAAAGGCCTCAAGTCTATTTTTTTCCCCGCTTACAAACCCTACATTAATTGTGTATTCGGTTGTGAGCCCTGTTAAAATGCTTCAAGGTGCACAGTGTCACTGTGGCTGAACAGATTGTCACTGATGGGAGACTGCAACTGCTGCTGACCTGCTGCTTTTGCTATGTGGTTTATACAGACTTGAAGGAAGTCTAAATAGGTTCCTACATGTGACTTTGTTCAAACTTACCTGGTCAAGTGACACTTGTTATGCTTTCTGTAATGGCCGACCTAACTTCTACTCTGGCCAGTTTTAGACTTTGGGGTATTATTGAGATGGTCTGTAATCCTTTCCTCAGCATCCACAGTTATTATACAATAACACAAAGTCTCTCTGCTAAATCCCTCCCTTCCAAATCTGCCAGTTTGTTTAAACAGCTTTCATTTCACTTTCAAGTAGATTAAATACTGTTTGCTTTTGGACAAAAGTGCCTCAGTTTTTGTGCAGTATTTCCTCCTGTGTTGTAGGTTCAAGACCAACTTTTAAGCTCTTCATTTGGTCCTCTTTTCTTTTCTCTCTGAGGTTGTATGTAAGATGTTTAGCTAAGTCTTAGGTGAGATTAGATGGTGTTTAAAGGAACGTGTGTGGTGTCTTTGGCCTCCCGTTGCTCCCTGACTCTCCCTAAGTCCCCTGCCTCACTGTGCGCGCTCCACTAATCATTTCCCTTTCACACTTTTTCTTTCTAGTGTGCAGTTCTTTAACTCTTCCATCTGCCCTTCAACCTACCCCAGCTCTCACTGTGGGTGCTACCATAAATGCCCTCCCCACCTCACTTTTTCTTGAAGTGAGTGAATCTTAAAAATGTGTGCATTTCTTTAACTCCTTCCCTTACTCCCTCCCTCTGTCCCAGCCCAGCAGGCCCCATCCAAACGTTCAAGGACAAATCTGAATATCCCTTTTCACCGTTTAAGTGTTAAAAGCCTGGCGGTGCTGGGTGTTATCTTAACGCGCCTTGCCGTGCCATCATCAGAGCGCGTGATGAAAATGGCTGTGATGATGCTAAAAGAAAAAAAGAGGAGGGGGAGGAAAAAGTAATAATCAAATATGTTTTTCAAGGGCACAGTGACCATTTGCTGGAGGGAAATTATCCCAGTAGTTAAGCTAGCTCACTCCGAGCCTGGCGGAGTTGTGAGAGTGGATGCGTTTGTGTGTATAAGTGTGTGCAAGTGTGCATGGTTTATTACTTCAACTTGATGCATGCATGCTCCACTTTCTGTATCTGTTTCTGTGTATGTATCTGAATGTTTCTTGTCTCTGCGGAGATGCACATCTCGCACACGTCCTTTCATTGTTTCTACCCAAAGATTCAGCAGAACAGTTTCTGAGTGTGTATTTCTCGTGTGTGTGTGTTTATCATTGCCAAAAGCCCCTCATCAATGATGGGTAGCAAATGGCCAACAGTAGTGGATTCCAAACAGCAGCGTCTGGATGCTTTAGAAGATTGAGTGCTCTCTGAACACAGGAAGACATTTCTCTCTCTGTTAATGTATTTATGATGATGGCTTTTCTATTAGGTTTACTTTAATGACTGGCAAGAATAAAACCAGAGGCTGTCAGGAACACAGAGATGAGGACAGACTGCACAGTGCGTGCGTGCGTGCGTGCGTGCGTGCGTGCGTGCGTGCGTGCGTTTGTGTGTGTGTGTGTGTGTGTGTGTGTGTGTGTGTGTGTGTGTGTGGGGTATGTGTGGTGTGTGTGTGTGTGTGGTGTGTGTGTGTGTGTGTGTGTGTG